CTCAGACACATAATACTTACTAGCTGTGTGACACTGGGCAAGTCACTTAACCCCATTGCCTAGCCAAAAAAAAAGCAAGTTTCTCTGATAAAGGTTTCATTTTTAAGATGTATATGAAACTGATTCAAATTTAAAAGAATAACAGCCATTCCCCAATCTATTCTCTGACCATTCCTAATGATCAGAGGGTATGAACAACTAGTCTTCAGAGGAAGAAATCTAAGCTATCACCAGCCATATGAAAAAATGCTCCAAATCACTAATCATTAGGGAAATGAAAATTAAATAAACCTGAGGTTCTACTTCATACCAATTATATTGGCAAAATTAACAAAAACAAAAAAAGAAAATTACAAATGCTGGAGAGACTGTGGGGAAATAAATATATTAATGCACTATTGTGGAGCTGTGAACTTATCTAGACAATTTGGAAAGCAATTTGGAACTATTCTCCAAAAGTTACTATACTGTACAAACTCTTTGACCTTGAGATACCACTACTAGATGTATACTACAAAGAAATAAAAGAAAGAAAAAAAGGACCCATATGTACACAAATATGTATAGCAGCTCTTTTTGTGTTGGCAAAGAAATGGAAACTAAGGGAATGCTGATTATTTGGGGAATGTCTGAACAAATTATGATATATGAATGTGATGAAATGCTATCGTGCTGTAAAAAATCATAAAAGTGACAATTATAGAAAAACCTGGGAAAATATGTATCAACAGAGTGAAGTGAGCACAACTAGAACAATAACAAAAATATTATAAAGGCAACCAACATTGAAAAACTTAAGAACTCTGATCAAGGTAATGACAATCATGATTTTGAAGGACTCATAATTAAAGACGCTACTCACCCTCTGTCAGGGAGGTAATGGATTCAGAAAGTGTACATTGAGATGAATATTTTTTGGACATGGCCAATGTAAGAATTTTGTTTTGTTTGACTATTTGTTAAAAAGGTTTTGTTCTCCTTTCTTTTTCAGTGAGGAAGGGGAGGCGGTAGAAGAGAAAGTGAATTTTCATTAACTTTTTAAAAATTAAATAAAAAAAAAAAAAGCCTCCTCTTCCTTAAAGGTCTAGTCCAGTGTTGCTTCTTCCATGAAGACCTCCCTATCTCCACACCTGGGAGTGAGCCATCCCTTTTCACGTCTCTTGTGTAATTTGGATTAAAGTTGTATGTATCTCACTCCCTGTATTAGATCATAAGAGGGGATATTATTACCCTCAGTTCCTAGGACATAGTAGATGCTTGGAAAATGCTTATGGAACTGAATTATTCAAATTTAATGTGCTAAGACATTAATTCAAGTAGAAAAATAGACCCATAAATCCTTAATGTCTTATTTGGTAATGATCTGAGAATTTTAGTTGTACGAATAAATATCCATTTAGGAGGAAACCTTCCTCTACCAATTCAGGTAGGTACTTTCTCTGTAACTTCTCATCTTTGAGAATTGTCTAGATTACTGAGAAGTTGCCTGGTGTTGCATAGTAAGTATGAGTCAGAAAGGTTTAAACCCAGATGTTTGGGACCAAGCCTGATTCAGGCCAGTGTGATGCTTCATATTCAGAATAGGAATGAAATAAATACTCAGACTAGCCAAAAGGTAAGAAAAGGAGACATGTCTCCCTGGCTTATCTCCATACAGAAACACACATAATCAACAGGGTATGGTGGGGTGATTTGTGAAGAAACAGTATATTCACCAAGTCTGAAAGTCCCTGACTCCACATGGATGGACCTCTTTCGTGCCCTTATATGACCAGTAAGGCATGCCAAGGTCTAAACTTTAACCTTCTAAAACCACCAAGTCTTATAAACAGTTTCAATAATTTTTAAAGACAGCAACTAGCCCAGGCCAGTCATTGGAGGGCCTGGTAAATATTTCTCATACCATACCAAATTCCTCTGCAGCAAGTCAAGTTCTTCTAAATCTTCTACCTTTTCAATGTCTTTAGATCTATTGCTGGACAACCCTAATCTTAGAAAAAGAAGATCTAAATAAAAATGATAGCCAAAGAAAAATAAACAAGCAAAATAATGGCCCCATAAAGGAGTGACCAAATATGGAGTGGAGGGGGAAACTAACTCTCTCATGTGGCAAGAGTATTTCTCCTCACACAATAGATCTTCCTGGCTTCAAAACCAGCTATCTGGCCTGGCTCAGCACTATCACCATGAAGCTGATGGACATCATGCTATGGAGCTTCCATACGGTCAAGGTGTTCCAGGAGAACTCTGAGAACATCAACTGCTTCAATTTCAGCCCCAATGGTGAGACCATCATCTTGAGCAGCAACAACAACTTTATCACCCTGTACGACTGTTGTGAGGGCAGACCAAAGAGAACACTGTACAGTAAGAAGTATGGAGTGGACCTAATCAGATACACACACGCAGCAAACACTGTAGTGTACAGTCCTAACAAAATAGATGATACAATCTGCTACCTGTCCTGGCATGATAACAAATACATCTGGTACTTTCCCAGACCCAACAAGAGGGTGGTAGCCTTGTCCATGTCACCAATAAATGACACTTTTATCTCTGGGTCCTTAGATAAAACCATCCAACTCTGGGATCTTTGATCTCCTAACTGCCGGGGTCTAATGCATCTCCAAGGAAAACATGTTTGTTCTTTTGACCCAGAAGGGTTAATTTTGCTGCTGGGGTCAATTCTGAAATGGTTAAACTTTATGATCTTTGCCTCTTTGATAAGAGGCCATTTGTGACCTTCAAAATGCAGTATGATAGGAACTATGAGTAGATAAGCTTGAAGTTCAGCAATGATGGCAAACTCAGTCTTATATCTACCAATAGCAGTTTCATCCACCTGATTGATGCATTTAAGGAAGCAGTAATGCACACATTTGGGGGTATAACAACAGCAAAGCTGTCACATGGGAAGCCTTCTTCACTGCAAATTCTCAATTTATTATGATTGGCTCTGATGATGACAAGATTCATGTCTGGAATGGAAAAAAAAAAGGTGCATAAAGGTGGCTGTGTTGGATGGGAAACATACTGATCCCATAACCTGTTTGCAATTCAATCCCAAGTTTGTGACCTTTGCCAGTACATGGTCTAACATGGCATTCTGGCTGCCTACCACTGATGACTGATCATTTGTCAGCAGCATCTGCACATTAAAATGCAACCAATAAGAAGAAAGGGACAGATTATTGGAATTATATTGTTCTCCTGACCCCGAGCATCCTTCTACCTAGCCCTTCTCATGAACATCACCATACAGCCTTTAAAAAATACTCCTTTGCTACATTCTTTCAAAATGGCTCTTGGTGCTATCGACATGAAGTTGGACCCAGATTTTCTAGTGGTGGCCTCTATCAAGCTCCTCCTGAGCTGTGTTGGGCTCATAGGCATCAGTGCAGACCCTTGGCATAACCTCCCCTTTTGAATGTATAGGGAGCCTATAAAATCTTGACTCCACATATCTTCTTTCCTACACCCCGTCCCCACAAATGCATGGAAATCTAGTTCTGGTTTTGAGGTACTAGTGTAGTTTCCCCTTTTCCTTCTGCATGTGTCATGATTGAATTTTCCCAGTATTGTTGTGGCTTTATTCCATAGCCATCATGTTTCTTCAGTACCAAAAGTTTAAAAATAATCAGTTCAGATGTCCAAGGTACAGAGGGAAGGACAGAGCTATATAAGGTCTTGGTTTGCAAGGAACTCAAAGAACTCTACAGAATGTTAGGGTGATGGGGCCAGGTATGGACTTAGTTGTGTGGCCAACTCAAACCTTGTTCAGTCTGTTTCTCACTGGCATGGGGAGTGCAGAGAAGCCAGGGAGACATGAAGAGGTAGCAGATCAAGTGCCTCCAGTAGTCAAGAAAGCTTACCTCCTTAGCAGATAGAGGACCAATTCTGTGTAAGCAAATGGCAGCTGAGCTGGGATACAGCCAGGTTGTCTTTGTCCAATGATCTTTGGTGTGTACATATTTATGATGGATGGGGGACGGGGAACTTATTTTTTTACTTTTTGAAACCAATAACTATTTCATGTAGGCCAGTATTGTGGAATGAATCCAAATTGTTTACACTGATGCTTTCTTTCCTCTACCCTTCTTCCCCCCACAAAAAAAAAAAATCCTGTAAATAACTTACAGATAGTCCTACCCTTTTCTCTAGTCACCCAAACCCACAAAACTGATTCTGGGCATGTAGTTTTGTTAGTGTCTAGCTTTTTTATATGACTTTTTTCTTATTTTACATTTCAGCTCTGTGTGTACATCTTTGTTTTAAAGCAAAAACCTACACGGGCTTTAGTACGATAGTCTTACAACCTCTTGTTCTCACCTGCTTCTTGGTGTTGTCAGTTCTTTAGCTGGGCCACCGGAGAAATGCTCCCACCTCTGAGATGGGGAGCAGCCTGCTTTTCTGCCTAAGAGTGCTACCACAAGTGTGAGAAAGTTTTCCCTCTTCCCCTTTTTCCATTTCTTGGATAACATTCATGGTTACTGCCTAGCCTGGAGACCATTGATTGACTCCCTCAGGTGATCACTGGCAAGCTCACAAGAGTGACTATTCGGTATTTTGCAAGCCTTTATAGTGGAAAATTCTCCAGTATTAGTCCCTGTTGTACTCTAGTCCAGTCTGTCTTTGCACATGTGGTGTGGACAAAAGTCACTCTGAATGATAATGTCTCAGAAATTGTGATTCCCAAACCAGTGGTTTCAGTTTGTAAATAGCCTTTGTGCTAATTATATTGTGCACACTTAAAAAAAAACAGCTATATGTCCCTCATTCCACTAAGGCTACAAATGGAGAAATAAAGATGAATTTTGTCTATAGAAAGGAGAAAGGGAATATTATCTGAAAATTATTTTTTAAAAAACTGATTATGATTACTCAGAAAAAAAGAAAAATATTATAAAACATTTTTTATTCACAAATGACATCATGATGTTTATTATCCATTAATTGAGCCAACAAATTTCTGTTTTGTTTTCTCCCCCAGGAAATCTACATTCAGGAAAAACTCTGGGTCCCTTTCTCATAACCAGTGAAAATGGAATATAAAGGAAAATATGTGAAAAATACCTAGAACCTCTGATGTGTTGAAGTCTGAATGATCAGCTAGAGGAGAGAACTTCCATATTTCCTACAGTAGATCCTAGGACAAGGAGAATTAAAAAAATGAATTTCACAAACTGTACAACAGAAGCCAGTGTGGCCATTAAATCCAAATCAGTAACAGAGAAGATGCTTGTTTCTATGACTTTGGTGGTAATCACTACCATGACCACACTCTTGAACTCAGCAGTAATTATTGCGATCTGTACCACCAAGAAACTCCATCAGCCTGCAAACTACCTAATCTGTTCTCTGGCTGTGACAGACCTCCTGGTTGCCGTTCTCGTCATGCCCTTGAGTATCACGTACATTGTCATGGACAGCTGGACCTTGGGTTACTTTATCTGTGAGGTCTGGCTGAGTGTAGACATGACCTGCTGCACCTGTTCAATTCTCCATCTCTGTGTGATTGCCTTGGATAGGTACTGGGCTATCACCAATGCTATTGAATATGCCAGGAAAAGAACTGCAAAGAGGGCTGGAATGATGATACTCACAGTGTGGACCATCTCAGTTTTCATTTCTATGCCTCCTCTGTTCTGGAGAAGCCACCGTCTTCTCAGTCCTCCACCTAGTCAATGCACCATCCAGCATGACCATGTGATCTACACCATTTACTCCACACTTGGGGCGTTTTACATCCCCTTGACGTTGATCCTGATTCTCTATTATAGGATCTATCACGCCGCCAAAAGTCTTTACCAGAAGCGTGGCTCCAGCCGCCACCTGAGCAATAGAAGCACCGACAGCCAGAACTCTTTTGCAAGCTGCAAGCTGACCCAGACTTTCTGTGTGTCTGACTTCTCCACTTCTGACCCAACCACAGAATTTGATAAGATCAACACCTCAGTCAGGATACCTCCCTTTGACAGTGACCTAGATCAGATGGGAGACCGCCAGCAGATCTCCAGCACCAGGGAACGAAAGGCTGCTCGCATTCTGGGACTGATACTAGGGGCATTCATTTTGTCCTGGCTGCCATTTTTCATCAAGGAGCTCATTGTAGGTCTGAGTATTTATACTGTGTCATCTGAAGTGGCTGACTTTTTGACGTGGCTTGGTTATGTGAATTCTCTTATCAACCCTCTGCTTTACACGAGTTTTAATGAGGATTTTAAGCTGGCCTTTAAAAGGCTTGTCAGGTGCCGGGAACATTCCTAAAGGGGTAGAAAACCAAATGTCTTTGGCCAGCCTTGTGAAATGCACAAAGGGCGTTAAACTGGTGAAGTCTTATTAAAGATGGCTGATTCAAGGCAGTTTGTAGGCTGTGGGAGTGGGGGAAAAGGATGCAACAGGGTGTTGTATGTGGTCCTTTGCTCTTCTTTTGGGGGGTCCTGATATTCAGTAAGCTGTTTTCTACCTCCGGTATTATGTAAGGTATGTTAATATCAAGTCAACTTTATGACACCAAAATGAAAACCTTCACAGAAGTAACCAAAAGGAAAATAATGTTTTATTTATTTTAACAGCCCTAATTATTCCTGTAATCAGTAAATGAGAAAATTCCTCTTGTTCATAGGAATTTTTTTTGGTGGATTCTTTTGTCTGTATATGGCCAAACCAATGTCTGACTATTTGCCTTAGAGTGGTATAAAACTTGACCTTGTTTGTCTGTTTGTATACAGATCCAAGCAGAAACTGTATGGTTGTACATAAAAAATAGAGATCTATCACTGTCCTGTTAACCCCCGCTTGCATCCCTGCGCTGAAAGCATTTACCATGGCACAATGACATAGCACATCGACTGCAGAAGCGAGAACCTTTATTTCCCAAGGTCCACAATTAAATAAACCAACTCAAGTTTCAAAAAGAACCCAGAATTCTATGGGGATTTTGTGTAAGTTGTTTATTGTGAGTATAACATATAAACAAATGAGAAACAAGAGAAAAACATCTTCTACTTGGTACATTTGCTTCTGGGGATGTTCCTGTTTCTGGGGCTTAAGGGTGAGAGGTAAGGATTGAGGATTTTATAGCTGAGAGAGACAGATTTTAGAGATACAATCCAACCCCCTCAATTTGTGAAGGAGGAAACAGAAGTTCGGAAAAGTTGAGTGATTTACTAAAGGTCTGTTGGGGATCTATTGGTGCAATTAGGAGGCTTCACAGAAGAAATAGATAGGTCAGTCAATAGAGAATGCTTTTTTAGGCACTTTTATTTGGCACATTTAAGAAATAGCTTAACTGGAGATTCCCAAAAGAGCATGGAGGGGGAGGAAGAGGTAGCAAGACAAGGATACTACGTCATTATTTATCCCCAAAATTGAGGCAGCAGCCAGTACCTGCAAAGCTAAAGCTGAACCTACCCCTAAACCATGGCAATAGCTAAAACTTGTAAAGTGAGATAGAGAAGAACAAGATAGGTATACAACCAGAGAAGTCCAGGCCAAGGCAAGAGGAGGGAGTTTCTAAGGCTTTTGTGAACAGTTCACAATGTTACACTTAATTCTCACTTGTTTGGTGAGTGGGACTTCTGGGACCATCCTCACTGTATGTTATCAGGGTATCTCCAAGAAGCTGATTAGGGCCAAGTGTTTTACAGGGACAGACAAGGTTCTGCTTATGGATGTCTGATTGGTTTTCTACCGATCTGCAGGGTGGCACCAATTAGCTGCAAGTTTCTGATTGCATAGGTATAGATGGTTTAACATATGAAGATGGCCTTTCAGAAATGGTCAGGGCAGAAAAGAAGGGGTACTAGACAGGAGGAGAATGTTTGGCTATGGCAGAAGACACACACTGGATAAACACTAGGCCCCCAAAACTTTCTGGAGTGCAGCAGCTATGAATAACCTGAGAAATACAGTATCAAGTGTGCCCATGACTAGATGACATCCCAGGCACACTAAAATTAAAATTTCTTATTGAATTGAAAGGTAAGTGTTATAATTCTCCTGCATATAGGAAATCCTAAAAATACATATGTACAGAGAGAGAGAGAAAGAGTGAGTGAGAGAGAGAGAGAGAGAGAGAGAGAGAGAGAGAGAGAGAGAGAGAAATACAATGTTATATGTTCATCTAGGGGGAAATCATCCTCTAAAGACTTCTGTTGTGAAACGTTACCTGCAGAATTTATTAATGGATTGACTTAGCAGAGAGAAATTATAAAAACAGGAAAAGTCTGGGCTCACACTTAGGACCATGAATCAAAAAGGGAATTGGACAAGATGTTCTCCCAAATCCTTTCCTACACTAGAATCCTGCAGTTGTAAGAAAATTAAATGTGGAAAAAGTCGTTCCCAGAATTCTTTTTGCACTAATAGAGAGATCATAGCATTGTAAAGTGAGTGCTAAAGTTAGAGACCAAAGACCAGAATTTCAATCCCACTTCAGACATGGGTGGAACACTTATCTTTTCAAAGTCTCAGTTTCCTCATCTGTAAAATGAGGATGATAATGACTTTGCTACCTACCGCACATAAATTGTTGTGAGTTAGGGCTTTGCAAAAACTCACAGCTCTGTGCAGGGTGTCCTAAAAGTCTTAGTGAAGTTTTGGGGATACCCTGTATCCATGTAAATCATTATCACCACAATGTAGCTCAGAACCAAGAAGTAGCAGGGTAGCCACAAAATCCCACTCTGGTTTAAGCAGGCCTATGGAAGCCCTGAAGTCACTGCTGCAGTGTCTATGAAGGACTTCAAATCTGCCCATTTTCAATCCAATGGCAGGAAGGAATCAGGAGTAGGGGCAGCCCCATGGAAGTTTATCCTGCCTTTGGGTTGCTGGGGAAGATGGAGACCCTTATATAAATCATAGATCTAGAGGTAGATGGACCCTTAGAGTTTATCAAGTCCCATTTTACAGATGAAGAAACTGAAACGCAGAGAAGTTTAAATGACTCACCCAAGATCACACAGGTAGCAGATTTCAGTAGCCCAGCTGCTCTGACTCCAACTCCATAGATCTCTCTATTGCATCATGCCACCTCTGTCCAGGGGGCAGTTAGGTGGCACAGTAGAAAGAGCACTGAGCTTGGAATCAGGAGGATCCGAGTTCAAATCTGACCTCAGACCCTTACTAGCTATGTGACCATGGGCAAGTCACTTAACCCTGTTTGTCTCAGTTTCCTCATCTGTAAAATAAGCTGGAGAAGGAGATGGCAAACCACTCCAGTATATTTGCCAAGAAAACCCCAAATGTGGTCACAAAGAGTCAAACATGCCTGAAGAAACTGACAACACCTCCATCTATTTGAGGGCACAGGGAAGGGAACAGGTAATTAATGTTTTCTGGCCAATTTCTGAAGAGTGGTAACAAGTGATGAAAGCCTGGGCCTGCCTCTGCTAGCTGAGTTTATATCTGAGTGCGTCTCTGGATCAACATCCAGAGAAGATTAATAGTTGATAATATCTAACATTATATAGTGATGATTATCTTCCAGGCACCATGCTAAGAGCTTTACAATTATTATTTCATTTGACCCTCACAACAACCCTGGAAAGTAAGTGCAATTATTATCCCCATTTTACAGATGAGAAAACTGAGGCAAACAGAAGTTAAGTGATATGTCCAGGATCACACAACTGTTAAGTGTTTGAGGCTGGATTTGAACTCAGGTTTTCCAGACTCCAGGACCAGCACTGTAGTTACTGTGCCAATCAGCTAAAGTACCAAGTAGAAAGCTTTCTAATGAAATACCAATGAATTGTAAAAAATGATGCTGGCACCAAACATTTTCATCTGTTACTAAATGAATGTTGAACAGCTTGTTAGGTCACCTCATTAATGAGGCCAGAGTTAGAGCTTTGATCCCCACATAGGTCAGTTAACTTTACTCTCATGGTCATATACTACACTCAAGCCCATTCAGAAATTAATCTCTGCAGGATTCTATGTAGCATTATAAGATTTAAAGAGGAAAAGTAACTTAGAGGCCATTTAGTCCAACCCTCTTATTTTTACGAATGAGGAAACAGAGGCCCAGAAGACTTATATGACCTGCCCAGTATCAAATAGGTAGTAATTGGCAGAATCTTGAATTAGAACTCAAATCCTCTGACTTGAAATCCAGTGTTCTTTCCACTGTGCCACACAGCTCTCATTATTAAGAAGGCTTTTGTTTCCCCACAAATCTGTGTCCTTGTTTGAAGAAGGAACTAGTGTAAAAGTATTAATGGATCAACACAAACTTAGAACTGGCCCAATATACTCTGGGTCAATATCATCTTCATATAGGTCATCTTCCTATATGAGGGGCAGCTTTCATGTGGCTGGCAACAGGATAGTCTGGGCCAAGACCAGGAAGTTGGCTAACCGGGAAAGATCTGGCAAATGCTAATGGTCTGAACCAAGGGATCTTTGTGTTGTGGACCCATTTGGCAAGCTAATGAAGCCTATAGAGTGCTTCTCAAAATAATATGGGTTGCCTACCTTTATAATTAAAGGACATCCCAAATCTCAATAGTAAAAATGAAAATGTAATATTTCCCATCCATGTTCATGGATTCCCTGAAATCTATTGAGGGACCTACAGATCATGAGTTAACAACCCCTGGTCTAAACAGACAAGAGCTCAAGTCCAAACAGTTTCATCTAAAACAGGGAGGAGCAAGTAGAAAGTCAAGGCAGATGTTCAGAGTCTAGGAATTAGGGAATTGACTTGAGCTGCATTATAGAGTAGGCCTGAACTCCAAACCCAAAGAAAAGGTTATTAACACTCTGCCATCTAACACTACCTACTGTTTAGCCAGAAGGAGATCCCTCAAAGGTTTGCTAGTGGGCCCCACTGCTTAGAATATAGAGCAAAGTAGGCAGCAGTGGGGAGGGTTTAGTATTTGTGCAACTCTCCACGCCTACCAACTACTTCTCATTTCCCAGTAAAAGGGTGCCAAGTCGTGGTAGCAAGATCCATTCCCTAGATATATTCATTACAAGCCATGGGATGGTTGCTGAATGAGTAAAGTAAGAATCTGAATGTGTTGTTGACAAAACTGAGTGGAGTTTGAGTGCTTAGCTGATGTCATCGTCTATAAAGAGACTGTTTATTGCAAACGTGTGAGGAAGAGTGACTAGATATGAGAGATACATGTCTAAAATGGAACCCTGGAGCTTGGGAGGCCCTAGAGGTGGAAGCTGATTCCTAGGTAGTGGAAGTGTAGAAAAAACAGACTGGTGAAGACTAACTTGCCCCACTGGTGCTTCGAGCCCTGGAGTGGTCTGCAACTTTAGATTCTGATGCCCTATTATACCACACTGTCAGCATTTGGAGAGCAGTGGCTAGCACAGTTCTGAGCCCCTCGGAATCTTCGTGTGTAAGAGAAGCTAATGAATCCATAGTCTGGGGGTGAGACCATATATGTAAGTCTATATCCCCTGTCCCTGCTTGTAGCAGGCACAGGAATTCTAGGATAATATCACAACTCCACATTAAATATTTTAGAGAAATGACTGAAACTAAGGTCATATCCTCATGTATATTTTTCATATCTGTACTAAGGACTTTGCTAGGTTGATGCTTATTTAGACCAATGGTGCTGCTAATCATTAACAACATTGTGCATGTCTAAGATCTGCTCTATTGAACTATCTATCTTTTCCCTACCCAAGAATTTTTATCTCATAAAAAAATAAAGGAATAAGTGTTACCTACTGCTTTTGAGATTTGTCATTGCCAATGGTGATTACCACTTTTGTGGTCTCCTGGTGGTCATGCTTCAAGAAAAAATAGATCTGCTAAATACATGATAGATAGGAACATTATCAAAAGGGTCAGGATTTTCTCTCTAGATAAAGAGCAGAAATCTGTTATAATATGGCTTGTTGCATGACCTGTCCTCCATCCTCCTGCCTAAAACAGAACTATATCCAGCAAAAC